ATTTATTTGGTTCTAGTTGGTTCATAAGTTAATTTTTTTGTAGTTTAATTATTTTTTTCCTCCCATTCCACAGCGATTTTTTCTCTTCGCCAAGTCCAGGCTAAATAGAAGATTTGGGTAGTTGGCGAATGTTGTTTGGCTTGGTTAACATAACCTCTGGCCTTGATCCGTTGGAGGACATTTTTCGCTACTAACGGTAAATCTTCACCTTCTTCTCCAATCTGGTAACCAAAAATAAAGACTTGATTGAGGTTACCCTTACGCGGGGTCAGTTGCCAAATATTTTTATCTTCTTCGGAACTAATGTTATAAATGTGGGCCAAATTAATTCTCAAACTTAACAAAAAGCCCTTAGCAAATAGTTCAGCTTGTTCAGGGGAGGCAGTGCCAAAAAACTTTGTGGTTTTAGCCCAAAATTCTTTTAATTGTTGAGAGAACTTGGGAAGCTTTTTCTCTTCGAGTGAGAGGGCTAAAGAAAAAAGGGTACTCTCATCGGCTTTGGTTTTTTCTCAGGTGACTCAGCGAGTTAATTTATCCTCATAAAAAGTTCTGATTTCCCAGTTAGGAATGCTTAATTCATAAAGGTCATCGGCAATTGGTCGAGCATTCAAATAACCCGCAAAAACTAAAAGGCTGTAGAAAGCAGTTTCATCTGGCCGGATTTTATCTAAATCCACTTGCTTATCCAAACGTTTAGTTAGACTTTGATTTTCTAAAAGAGTTTGTAAGTCTTTTTGTAAGTTATCCGAACATAATATTGGATCAATTAAGCCAGTACCGCCACTATCTAATCAATAAGTGTCAATTCCTCTCTGACGAGACAAGCAATGCACTATCGACCAAGGATTATAAACTGTTTGCCCTCCGTGATGGTAACCCTTGTATCATTTTTTAATTTCCAGGAGTGAATTTTTGGGAGAGAGTTGGGTTAAGAGTTGTTCTAATTCGTCCGGCAAAAAACCATAATATTCGCTCAATTCGGGATTTAAAAGATTGTGTTCAGCCAGATTATCCAGATTAGTATAAATATCCGCCTTGGTTCGCAAAATACCGGTCAATATTCCTTTTTCTAAATAAGGGTTGTGGTAGAAAGTTGTCTTTATTAGGTCCTGTAAAAGGTGTAATACTTTTTGGAATTCTCCGAAACTAAACTTATCGTAACAATGATTAATTATTGAATCTTGTTCGTCAATCAAAATAAAGACTTTTTGATGAAAGTGCTGATAAAGCAGCTTGCTTAGGAAACGAAAACCATTTTTTATTTGGTCCGAACTTAGTTCTTCGTAACGGAGATAATCATTAAATAGT